AATAGGGTTGAGTCTAAGGGTGCTAGACTGCTAAGTGGATAGATCAGAAAGAGTTGACACTATTACACTGCCCCTCCCAACACATCAAATCAACAAGATAAAAGATGTGGGAAGGGGTAAAATTATAATAAAACAAAAACGCAAGCAAATGATTTTGAGGGTCATTACAAGACGTTTTTGCATGCACGGTTAAATTTTATCACTTTTTATTTGATATAGTAATGCTTATGATCAATCGACCTATAATGACTACTAAGTACTACTGATTTGTACTCACCCTACATTTTCTACTTTTATTATGCAGAGCCTAGCATGATTTATCATCCTACATTTTTCTGCATCATTTGGGGGTGAGCATCAGCCTTCAGGATTAACCTATTTTCTTCTTTATATTCTTTTAAGGTTTAAATAGTGATGTATGAGATCTTACTCAGTTCTCCTTATTTTAGAAATTCTTATGCATATTAGTTGAATAAAGACCATGGGGAGATTAGGTGTTATTAAATAATTTGGCAAAGAGTCTTGTTTAGGTGAGATTATTGTCTCAATAGATTTTATGCTTTCTTAAAGTTTTTATATGCTGGCCAATTGGTCGAATCATATTAAAATATATCTTTCTTTTACTATATTTTTCTTTGTCATCTAATTAATCTTCATGATTTGCGATTATTTGCTTCCATTCCATATGATGCCCTATATATTATTTTGATCCCAATATTGTATTGTGTTGTAAGTTTAAGTACATTATTTATTTTGATTATGACTTAAATTTTATTGTTTCATTGAGTTAATTCAATGATTAGGTTACGTAAAAAAGTCTTATTTTGTGTAATAACCGATTTAGTTTAACTGCAACACTTTTTTTTCTCATTTTATCTTTACTTACTATTTAATAGTCATATTTTATCCTTCACCATATCGCATGATTGTATCTCCAACCCGTAATTCATGTGTATAAGTTTATAAGAAAGCATATGTTTTTATGTGTAAGAAGAAAGAAAGGGGGATGGATTGGATGTATTAGTTTAACTATTTTGAAAGCTAATGGCTTGGTTTAGATACAGAATTATAATTATAATTTTCCCAATTTCCTATAATCAATAATAATAAATAAATAAAAAAGGGATAAACTGATGAAACCTTGGTTTACACTACTCCTCGATGATCAAAAAACATCTAATCACATCTTCCATATAATTAATAAAACACTTCCATACTTATAATTTGATAACTATCTTCAAAATCATAACTATGATAATACATGTCATAGAAAACTAAATATCTTCAGCAAAAATAAATAAACCCAAAAATAATATCATATATTCTAATCGTATGATCACATATTGTTGGTATTTCCAAACACGAGTGCTTTTTCTGAATCCTTGTTTTGAGTTACCTCAACCTTACTTCTCTTCTTGCTTGATTCTTTTCCCTGTAACAATGTAATACTCTTATCAATAATCAAAGTAATTTCTTTCCACAAATATTTCCAATTTCTTAATTAGCTGAAACTATTAATGGCTATAAAATTGATATATTCAATGGAATAAAAATTGATTAGGAGTCGTGGTAACCATAGAATTTGAGAAATTGTTTGTATTGTTACATTGGAATTTTCGTTTCAATTTTTTTGTCTAGTTTTGACTTGACACGATGTTTTAAGAGTTAAATAATCTTATGTCATAAATATTTCATGTGGAAATTGAAATTTAAGAGTTGCAAAAAAAATGAAAGAGGCAATTTTTAAACGGGTTAAAAAGAAAAGTGAGATAAAAAAAATTAAAACAAAAGGAGTAATATTTATATATAAAAAACTTGTAGTATCACTTATCTCATATATAAAAGGTTGCATTGATATAATCCAGGTTTAGAAATCAAATAACAACTAACAAAACTAGAGGCCGGGTATAAGAGTAAAAAACAAGGGTGACAACCCTCCTCCTCTCTTAATTTACCTTCTTTGTACCATGCATGACTCATGAATTCAACCATAGATCATACAACATAAACAAAAGGTCAAACAAAGAACGAGAAAAAAATGAATTCATTTTAGTGATGAAGGAATTAAAAAGATAAATCAAGTGCATGTTTAAATTTTTGAATCAACCTGTTACTTGGAAATATATATCAAGAAGGGTCAAAATGGCATCTTTTTCCTTTTTTTGTAAGATGAGCCTTGAATCTAGCTAAAGATTTTGGATCATAAATCCCTAAACGATGCCTAGGGTGTTGTGGCTGAAATCTTCTAGACAAAGTTGGAGATGAAGGCAATTGCATAACATGTGTTGAAACAACATGAGATGCTTTTGTAGGAAAAGCATGTTGTTGTTGTTTGGGAATTGATGAGATTGTAGTAGAACCCAGTTGTTGTTGTTGGAAATTGGTAAATGGCACAAAAAGCTTTCTATGGGAGGTCCCTTTAATCCAACCATCCTTGAAGTGCCTCCTTGTATGAGCTGCTATTGCTTGACTTGAAAAAATCTCTTTTTCACAACAGACACATTGGTATATCAACATACCATCTTGCTGATTTGGTCCTTGCATTTTTGTTGCATCCATGTTCATAATTTTGGATAGAAGAGAAGTATATACAGGGGGAGTAGAACTGGGAGGGGTTTGGGTTTGGAGTCAACTTTGTTTTTATTCCTTTTTTGGATGTGTTTGAAAATATGTAGTCTATTTTACTTTATTTCTTTATATGGCGTTGGTGCACTTATTATTTATACTAATAAGAAAAAAATATATTGATAAATTAGAAATCCTCATCATGATAAATTTTCTTGGCATAAAACCCCTAAGCTTAGTGTATTTTATTCAGAATCCCTTAAATTATTAGTAATTTTAATTACCTCTCTGCTATTTGATAATCTTTACCCTATAAGATATTGTCCTAAGAGTGTGAAATGCACTCGCATGTCACGTAGAGTTTTTGATTTTTAGAAATAATTTTACATTTTTTTTACATTCATGTTCATCATTTTGGGGAGACTAGAAGTGTGATGTGGGGGGGGGGGGGGGGGGGGAGTAGAAGAGGCATGAGTAGGGTTTGGAAAAAACTTTACTTTTATTCTTATTTTGGATGTATTAGAAATTATATTGTCTGTTTTACTTGATTTCTTTATGTGGCACTATGCATATCACGACCCAAAAATGGACACGATGACACTTGTCTAATCCCACCAAGACAAGTCAGCCTCAATCCAAAGAAATAAAAGAAAATCGAAAAGAGAAAATAAGAACAAGATAAAAATGGAAAAATTATTCATTTTATTAACACCCCAAAATCTGGTTGACACGTGTTCAAGTCACTGATTACATAAAGTGCGGATTGAAAGATAATTACAAGTCTTAATGTCTTTGTTTCTCAAATAGAACAAAACATAACATAAAGAAAAAAGAGGGTCCATCGGGATGACAAACACTACCTCTCAATAGTCCTTTGAAAAGCCTCAGAAATAGGAGATAAGAACAATCACACAGTACTGAGCTCGGAACATATACAAGTGTAGAAGCAAGGAGTGAGTACCAACCAACACGGTACTCAACAAGCAATCTAACAAACTAGCTAGAAATTGAATACTCCTTTCATCCCAACCGAACCTCCTCAAACTACAACCTGCATAGAAATCAACCCAACCTAATAGTTTCACAATACACAACTCACAAGGCTTAACCACACAGTTCAATAACCACAGTTCAACAATCAAAACATATCAAGTAAGTCAATCTCAGGTAACAAGTAGATCAATCACAAGTGCAAGTAGATCAATCATAAGTTTCAAAATGTATCAAATCACAATAGTCAACTCTTTCCGGAACCATTTCCTTTCAACACAATATCACTAGTCGTAACCATTTTCCATCGGCGAAGAATTAAAATGAATTGAAACTCTCCAGATTGGCGTCAGAAGTAGGGTTTCTTCACTACCTAGGGTGACGCACCATCGTCAGGACAAAAATTAGCAGCACGTTGCAAGCTGATTTAATATGGTAGGGTCGATGTTTTTTTCACATAGATTGAAGCAGGCTCGAGGAGGAGTAACCGATGAAGCTCGTGAAAGCTTCTCTTCCCATTTCTTGGTATAACTGACCATATGCCCAAAAAGCGAAGGGACTATTTGTATTTTGTGAATTGGCTAGAGCGTGGGGTGTTAGAAGAAAATGACATGTGGTGGAATGATCTAGGGAAAGTGAGGAGTTTTCAAGGATAACCTCTTGAAGGATCATCCTCGGAAGCACAAGAAATTAAAGGACCTAATTGAGAACACGCAAAGGATGCACAAACAAAAGAGAAAAGAATCATGTCCCCATGATGTGGACAAAGAGACAAAAAGGAGAGATACGCAAGTGTCGCCTTACAAATTCCCTGTGCATGGTAGGGATATTGATGACCCCACTAATGGTATCACCACATGACCTGCAACCATTGATCGATCGAGTTGAGCTTTCTTATTGGTTGATGCCCCACGCTTGTAACCTATATTTAATTTATTTCACTAATTTATAAAGACATTATGCTTGAGCTCCAAATTTATTTTACTTACTAAGCATTTATCCTTAAAGCATTTTGACTCTCAAACATTATCAAAGCTAGGACCTACATCTCCCGATTCAGTGTTGCCAACAAATCTCACAATATTAAACTGCTAATAATCGAACCTAACAAGTTGATAATTGAACCTTCAATTTTTTACTTGTTTTACTTGCCTTTTATTTACTAATCTTACAATATTAAACTATTAATAATAAAATCTAACGAGTTAAACTAAGACGCAAACTTAATCTCATACAAATTTAACTATACTAGATCTTTGTAATAATTTTTTAAACTTATCTTTCTCAAAAGTCAAAGTAGTCGTGAACTCAAAACAATTTATGCAAACTTGTAAACATAAGAGTTGATTGAAGAGTTGGTCACACCAAACAAGAAAAGACTTGCCGCATTTAAACGCAGCTAACATAAAACACAGACAAACGACAGCGTTATCACGTGTTTGCTTATTGGCACCCCATCACTCACACTCTCTCTCCAACTTGTTTCTCCCCAAAATTTCGAAAACCCCCCATATCTCTCTCTCTCTCTCTCTTCCTTCTGTATTCGAGATTCTCGCCGTGAAAATCATTCGTTCAGCTTCCGGCACCCGAAAACCGCTTCTCCAGCCGATTACAAGATTGCGTCGGAATGAGTAACGGAGGAGAGCTACTTCAAATCGATCCTGTTGAGCTTCAATTCCCCTGTAACTTTCTCTACTTCGGCAAATGAGATGCTTCTCAGTTTCCATTTTCTTCACTTTTAAGATCCGTGTTAAACTTGCTCTGTTGTTGATTTATTTGTTTTTTCTTTTTGTGCTCATGGATAGTTGAATTGAAAAAGCAGATCTCATGCTCAATGCAGTTGACGAACAAGTCTGATAATTATGTTGCTTTCAAGGTAATTTACTAAATTTGAAGTGTTATTAGCGATTATTTTTTCTTTTTCGAAATTGTGAAGGTTGGAATTTCATTTTTTAGGTGAAGACAACGAATCCGAAGAAGTATTGTGTAAGGCCCAACACTGGAATTGTCATGCCTCATTCTTCCAGCGATGTCAAAGGTCGGATGTTTTGAAATGATTTTGACACTATTTCATTTATATAGAATTTGATGTGGTGTTTTCTCTATCAAGCTTAGGTTTTTGCGATTATTTGAATGTTTTTCCCTCTGTTGTTACTAATATATCATGTAAGTGAATTTGAAAATAACTTTTTGTCATGCATGGAGAGTAATTTTTCTTTACCATTTCTGGTTTAGTTACAATGCAAGCACAGAAAGAGGCTCCACCAGATATGCAATGCAAGGATAAGTTCCTGCTTCAAAGTGTTGTTGCAAGCCCTGGAGCTGCTGCAAAGGACATTACTCCCGAGATGGTAAAAATTTAAGTTGTTGTTAGAATAATTACTGGCAAACTTCCATATTCATCAGAAGTAGCGTGTTTATTAGATGCATTTTTTGGTTTTAGTTCAATAAGGAGTCAGGGAATTATGTGGAGGACTGCAAGTTGAAAGTGGTTTATGTTCCACCTCAACTGCCATCGCCTGTGAGGGAGGGGTCTGAGGAAGGTTCCTCTCCTAGGGCTTCAGTATCTGAAAATGGAGCTGTAAATACATCCGAGTTTAATAATGTGAGTTTTTTCGAAGCCTTATCTTGATGTTATTAAATACAAAATCTCTCCTTTCTGGAGAGCAGAACTGAAGTGAATATAAAATTCCTGGATATTTTGGCTACAGATTTCAAGAGCATATAATGAGCAGCAAGACAACTCGTCGGAGGTAATCTTCATGTCTAAGTACTTGTTTGCTAGTGTTAGAATCAATATTGTTACCATATACGGACTTCAGCCTGAATGAAAAGTTCTGGTATCAGAAACCATAGGGTTTTGTGTATTTGTCTTTCTATGTTTCCTTATTACTTATTACTCCTGCATTCCTTAACCGTGTCTGTTGGTTTAATTATGTGAGGCGTTACTCTTTCTATTTTACTTTGTGCACTCATTGGCAAATGCTGTTCATCTTGATGACTTTATCTTTGTGAACTTAGTTGCTCCGTCGATGCCAATATTTGATCATTACCAATGTATTTTGTTCTATATGTTTCTTTGGCCTTTTGTTGGTGTTGTTTATTCAAAAGGATGGTCCAAGTCGTGTCATTGTTCTACATTCTAGCTAGTAGCTCTTTCTTGCCATCTTGGTCAGTAGGGTAGCCTCTATGCTAATTCGTGATCCATTTAGAGGGACATCCTACTTGAGTCCGGAGCCAAAAAGGTAAGAAAATGTTGCCAGTATTCCAAAACGGCAAACAAATTTTGGAATGAAACCAAAGGGGGAAAGACACAAAAGCGCATGGGACCTTGCGCCTTGCCCTTTGTCCCTTAACAGACGTCAAAAGAAATGATAAAGCCAAGTCGTACGGCCCCACACACCTTATAAGGCGTAGGGGCGTGTTACTCCATTTGTGGACGCCACCCCTTTACTCCATTCTCCCCCCCCCCCCCCCCCCCCCACCATATTGTTTTCCCACCCCTTACTCTTTATATATTCGTTTATCCAATTTGGAAGTTATATAGGTATTAAATGAAAGTTAGGTGTAAAATTGAAAGAGATCAATGTCCAATAATCAACATAAGAAACTTCTCATTAATAAAACTTACTTGCATGCATTCCACTAAACCTAGATGACATCTTTTTTACTTGAAAGAATTGACATGCATTCAAATTTAAATTAATAATTTTTTATAAAAATAAATAAATTTAATTTAACCTTTAATGTAGAAAACTTATATATTAAAAGTATTTGATGTATAACACTATTAATATTTTTTTTTTCACACTTATAATTTAGTGTATATTTTTTTGGCTAATTTTGCTTGCAACTATTTCGATCAGATTATGCATGCATGCATTCCACTTTTTAAAAATTTTGGGAAGAAAAATGTCATAGTTGAATGATCTTTTGAGATATTAACTTCATGCATTAACATAAAATGAAGCCTTATCTTATTAAGAGAAAGAAAATAATAATACTTAAAATTTTTAAAACAAAACAAACTTCTCATTAATGAAATACAAAAATTACAATAGAGGAATACAACATTTTTGTGTTGAACAACTAAAATTAAGTGAGATCATCCAAACCTCTAAATTCGCCTAACAAGAAACCATAATTTTCCACTATTGGAACACCTAATTTGTATGAATATTTGACTTCACTATCCATTGAAGTTATAACTCAAGTACCACGAAAGATACCTTCATTTTTATCATTATTAACATGGTTGTTATTCTCAGCAACAACCATTGATTCAGCCTGTGCTAGACTGCTAGCGTTGTACATTCAAGCTTCTTCACCTTGTAAAAAATTCAGCTTCATCAGCACTAACAAACTTTTCACCCAAATGATTTTCTTGTTAATTGGATGTCTTATCTTAGCAATAAACTTTTCATTACTACTCATTTAACACTTCCCGAATATCATCTAACACAAATAATTATTGATGTAGTTCTCATACTCAAACAATAAAAAAGAAAGTATAGAAGAAAATGAGATAGGAACAGATTGATTGAAGAAATCTTGATAAATGATGAACCTTTAATAAAATACTACCTATGTAAATGATTTAACAACTTAAGAATAAAGGAAGAAGTAAAGAAGAGATGATGAATTTTTCTAACATGTTAGGTGGTTTATATAGAATTGAAGTGTGGATAGAAGGCACATGTACCTTCATTTTGATATATGACAACCATAACACTTTTTTTGATGAAGACAACCGTAACACTTTTTTTGGACAATGTTTAGATATAACACACATTTAATTTGTTAGAATAGGAATATGAACAAGAATAGTATATCGAATCCTACTTGGAATAGGAATAATATATAGAATCCTACTTGAAATAGGAATAGTATATACAATCCTACTTGGAAAAGGAATAGTATATACAATCCTACTTGGAAAAGGATTCTAATATAGTGTCTATAAATAGGATCTCAGTGTAATGATTATTAAATTGTGTATCTACATTATTAGACTAAGATCTTCTTTATAAACAATATATTACAATCTTTTTTCAAGTAGGATTGTATAGACTATTCATATTGCAAGTAGGGTTGTATATGTTATTCCTAATCCAAGTAGGATTGTATGTATTATTCCTATTCCAAGTAGGATTCTATATACTATTTCTATTCCAAGTAGGATTCGATATATTATTCTTGTTTCTATTCCTATTCTAACAAATTTAATATGTTTGTTATATGTAAATACTGTTCGAAAAAAGTGTTATGTTTGTTGGATATCAAAATGATGGTTCATGTGTCTTCTACCCGCACTTCAATTTTATATAAACCACCTAACATGTTAGACATATTTATCATCTATTCCATTATTTTTAAGTTTTGAAATCAACTACATATGTAGTATTTTATTCAAGGTCCATCATTTATCAAGATTTCTTTCATAGTTCCTATTCCATTTTCTCATATACTTTCTTTTTTATTGTTTGAGTATGAAAACTACACCAAATAAATATAACTATTTCTATAACTAGAAGATAAAGATTACCAGAAATTAATAGATATAACCTTTTTAACTAAAAGATATTCTGGATAAAATCATATTTCTAAAACAATCTTATCATTATTTTATTCTAACCAACAAATAATATTAAAATGTTCTTGTGATCTAATTTGGTTGGAGAAAATTTAGCATCGACGAATGAGATTGATTTTTAAAAAGTGTTTAAGTCATAGAATATGGTAGGTGATCCTTCCATTGAATAGGACATTTTTTCAGTTAGCGAACTGAAGATGGCAAATATGTTCAGCAATGGGTACTCTAAGGGGTCGTTTAGTAGAGTGTATAAAAATAATGCCTAATGGAGTGTATTAGCAATGTTTGCGTTAGTAATGCTTGTATTAGTTATGCTTGCATTAGTTATATAGATTATTTCTTATGCATTGTCTGGTTTGGTGTATTAAAAATAACATGCATTGTATAAAAATATTTATTTACATAAATACCCTTCACAACTATGGTGAAAAAGATGTATAGGGAGTTTTGAGGGGCAATTGGGTCTTTAACCATGCTAATGCCTGCATTAATCCCTTTGCATTACTAATACGTAGAAATTCATGGTTTTAGTAATACACTCCCCAATACACAATAGAGTCTTGCATTAGTTATACATAGCATGAAAAAGTGCACCAAACAAGGTATTAGGTACTGCTAATATATAGAGCTAATGCATGTATTATTTTTGCTAATATACTCTTAAAATGAATTGGATCACAATCCACCCATATAAAATATGGGTAAATATGGATTTGGTCAAATATGGTTTGGGTAAAATGGTTGTAATCCACTTTAATCTCCTAAAGCCAAAAAATATTAAATCGAAGTTAAATTGTTAATACCTCAACCCCTACCAGCCCACCCCTATATTATTATTTTTTTAAAATAATTTTTCATACGGAAAAAAGATTTTTTTTTACCCTGTACCCCAACCCCAAAAAAAATTATAAATTATTTTTTTGAAAAAATTGCCAACCGACCCGCCACCACCCCCCAAAAAAAGTATTTATTTTTTAAAAAAAATTCTTTTTGTCAACCCTACCCTCTTCACCCCCCCACCCCCGCAACCCCCACCTCCCCCCACATCCAAACTTTTTTAAAAAAAAAAGCTTCTCTTTTTGAAAATTTTTTTTGCCAATGCTACCCCCGACCCCCACCTCAGGACACCTCCCACCCACACCCAAAAATATTTATAGAAGAATTTTTTTCCCCCCACCCCACCCCAACCCCCAATTTTTTATTTTTTATTTTCAAAAACAAATAGTGCAATTAGGGATTTTTATTATAAGTGAATGATATATGGGTATATATGGATTCTCATGTTTACCCATTTTGTCCATATTTGTATGAGCTTAAATAGGTTGAAGTCCATATTTACCCATTTAAGGAAATATGAGTGATCCATTTAATTTAATATGGAAAAAATGGATTAATTTCCCTTGTATGGGTTGAAATTGCCACCCCTATACCAAACGACCCCTAAGAGTGCAGTGTGATAAATCAAAACTTGTGGTCTGATATCAAATTGATGCCACATCAAAAGGGAATGAGGAGAAATGAGAAAGAGAAGGAAGAGAGAGAGACCCTTCGGGGTGGCCCAGTGGTTTGAGCTTGGGACTTCCATGTTGGAGGTCTCAAGTTCGAAACCCCTTGCCAGCGAAAGCAAAGGGTTTGCCTTCTGGGTCGAGCTCGTCGCACCAGGCTTGCCTAGTGCGGGTTACCTCTCCTATGTGGTTTGCGAGCTATTGCATAGGAGCGGGGGTTTTACCCTGTGCGCACCCAAAGGGTAGCGGCTGCGGGTTTCCCTTGTCATCAAAAGAGAGAGAGAGAGAGAGTAGAGAGGGAGAGATTACAATACAAAATCAATTCATCTTCACTAATCAAGTCTTTCTAATAAAGTCCTCAAGGGTCCTATTTATTGAATAGAAACTTTGAACAATCAGAGCTCCTAAAACAAATGAAACTCATGTGATTAGATGATAAAAGTTAATAAAGCTAATGGATAAAATTATTAGTCAAAGAGCGTAAGAAAAGCTTTTCCTATTTTATTAGTCACCCTCTAATGAGCAAGAAAACGGCCTTGTGATGATTTGAGTTGCTAAGATGAATAGCAAATACAGCTGTCATGAAATTAAGAAGAATGCAAGGAGTTCCAAGACTAATATAACTTGGAAGCTAGAGGAAATGAGTTACTTATGAGTTAATGGACTGGTAAATGGAGAAAATTATGCCTAAAGCTGATATTTTGATCAACTCTACACTCTTTAAATTGAAGGTCTGAATGAACCCTGGTTAGATTGTTGTCCATTTTGGATATGCAATTGTGGAATCGAGGATCAAATAACATAATGAGTTTGATGAATAGTGAATCTTCATGATTCCAATATCATGCTTTTGAAAATAATTAGCTCCCACTGCTTTGCATTTCCAATTATTTTTGGAAAAATCAAATTGACACAAATTAACTGAAAAATTTGATATGTATTTGGTTTGGTGGAAAAAAGAACCAAACTGACATGTATGTATGTATATATTAAAACATTTGTATATTTTCTTTACCTATGTTCAATTCCTTCAAAATACTTGATTTCCCTTTTCTTTCATGTTCACAAACCAAACCAAGATTTATTAAGCTCACGTCTTTTCTGATTTGAGATAGTGTTTTATCGACAATTATTTTGATTAACAAAGCAAATATTGTTTAAGTTTCATATTAAATATTGTATTCTATGTTCAGTTTTAAGGAGTCATTTATTCTTTTACTTATTAAATTTTTGTAGTCATATATTTGTGTAAGATTGTTGTTAGATTATTGAAAGGGTAATGCTTATCACATATTGCAGAAAACATTTCTCACGTAAGAATGTTTCCTTTGATAATTGTTCATCCATTTGTTCAATTCTCTCTAAAGATTTGTTAACTTGTAGGAAATTTTATCTGTAACTCTAAAAGATTGAATTTGTAGTTTAGACTGATATAGTTTGTATGCATTATTTTTAAAAAAGGTAATGGCTCCAATTGAATCATGAACACCAATTGATTCCCTTGTCTAGGAATAGATTTGGTTTTACATTGAGGCTATTATTTTCATCTGTTTTTTTCAAGGTTTTATTAGCCTGACCGGTTTTCCTGATAGTTTAGTCAGCATGCTAACGGGAAAATATATCTGACTTCACATATGCTGTGCCCGTTGCATTTCATAGAAGATTATGACTTAATTTAAGTCTTTGTTTGACAAAACTTCCTGTAAAACACTGTACAGGACATAATTGCCAAAAATACTGAAATATTGTTGTCAGTTGACTAAAGTCTTTACCTCCAAACATTTCAACCTTTGAAATCCCATTTGAATATGTATAATATGGTCATTCCAAATCTGGAATATCAAAGTGATATACTTGAAATCTTGTTCAGTTAAAATTAATATGGTTAGTTCAAATCTTGCATATCAAAGTGATATACTTGAAATCTTGTTCAGTTAAAATTAATATGGTTAGTTCAAATCTTGCATATCAAAGGGACATTATACTGAGGTGGAGCCATGGAGGAACTTTTTAGTTAGGAAGGATGCTAAACCTTTTGAGGTGGATTAGCTGCTATCAATTGCTCCTTGAAAAAGAACCAATAGAGTATCTTTCTTGATTCTCATATAAATATTCTAATAATTGATTGATGAACCTAACATTACTGAAGACTATCCTCAGTCTAGGAATTGTTGTAGGCTCATAGCTTCTTCCTACTATTTTCATTTCCACTTGGTTCATTCTACCCAATCAGTGAAAAGGTTCTTCTGGGGAAGTGTGTTGATTTTAGAATGTCTAAGTTGTTATTAATCTTCTGCAAGTTCCCTTGTGCGTTCACACCAGCTTCTGATCTGTCCCATGTCTTCTTCCTGAGCCACTACTGGTGCATTTCCCACCACTTTATTCATTTTGGGTAAAATTGTTATAAATTATATACTCCCACTTCTCTAAATTATCTGTCTTACTTTCCATTTTAGCTTGTCCCGAAATAGTGTTCTCCGCCTCGAGAAGAATGTTTTTCCTCATAACAGTTTCAAGGTCACATACTGCTTTTCAGCTTTCTTGAGCATCAAACTTAGCCACTCCCATCTCCAAAACAAATAGATACGAAGAAAGAGGGTAACCTTGTTTCAATCCTCTTTGAGACTTAAAAGAAACAAACAGGATCTTCATTAATTAACACTGAGAAGCACACTGTATATAGAAAAGTGTGTATTCATTGAATCCGTCTAGGACCAAAGTTCATCTGCTTCAGGATATCCAAGAGAAAGGGCCAGCTTACATGGTCATAAGTTCTTTCCAAATCAAGTTTGCAGGCAACTCCTGTTTGGCCTTTTCAAGTGCGGATTGATGCATTCATTTGCCACTAATGCAGCATCCACTATTTGTCTACCCTTTATGAAGGCATCCTGACTGCCTGAAACTCACTGGATCTGAAGTCTTCCACAGTACCTTTCTCTTTTGGAATTTCATCATTAAAAGTGGAAGTAAATCTCTTCGGCGAAACTGACTTCTCTATAGAACAATTCCACAGTCCTCCACGAATCATCTTCAACAATATGCCAATACTTCTAGTAAAAATCATGATGGGTTCAGGACTAGTGTTACTGTGATCGTATATCCTAAATGGTCTGTGATTTTAACCTAGCCCACAATTAACGAGTTTTGATGCTATGGGAATGAGTTTTTACTTGGAAAAATGCTATCAATCTTTGAGCGGTCTTAGAAGTTCTTGGGTGGAATCATTTGGTTCAAGGCTGCCATTTATATAGTAAAAAGTTTTACTTGCTTGTAACTATTTGTATAGTGTTTTTTCTTTCGAAATGTAGTTACTGTTTAGTCGTTACAAGTATAGTTTGTGATTACTCTGTTCCAAACACTATTTGGTTGACTTAAATGAATCTTTGATGTATACCTAAGTTAGTTTCTTTGCTTCATCAACTGGTGATTGTTTGTCCCTTCAGGATGTACTTCCAGTATTTCCTACATCACTATTTTCTTGTTACTTATCTTATTGAATACTTGTTTCGTCATAAAGGTGGTCCCAATACTTAAAGTTTGCCAATTTGACCAAACCTTTGATAGGTGTAGTTCTCCATTCTTCCATGTATATTGGCTTATTATGAATGAAGATTGAGGGCTGAGGGTTCTTTGTCTTGTTTGCAGACGAAGGCACTAATTTCGAAGTTGACAGAGGAGAAAATTTCTGTTGTGCAACAAAATAACAAGCTTCAGCAAGAACTGGTAAGGGAGGATCTTATATATGAAATATTCTACGACTTGCTTACTCCCTTCTCAAAAAATTAATGTACTTCTCACCACTACTTACGGGCACATTGACAATTTCAACCAACATGGGTTGTGGTGCACTGGTGGGAGTGCTTCACCCTTAACCAGAGGTCTTGGGTTCGAGCGCTGGGTATGGAGAAAATCCTGTTGGGAGCGCCACCCCCGAATGGGCCCTGCAGAGCGCGATCTGGATTTAGTCGGAGCTCCAATGTGGGCTCCGGACACCGGGTGGGAAACCAAAGAAAAAAACATTGACAATTTCACATGATCATTCATTTCTTTCTAAAAGTTAGAGACGTGGATTGTACTGGAGAAAATTGCTGAACTCAGTTGCACAACGATAAGAAATTTTAAACATAGAACTAATCAGAAAAATAAATAAATACATAACACAAAGGAAGGACATAAACTGCATTTACTGGTTGGTTCGCAAGCAGAGGTTGTCTGGCTTTGGGATTTGGGGATAATACAATTGCTCTGTGAAATGTGCCTCTTCCTGTTAATGTTGTCAGAGTATTGGAAGTATCTAAATAGTTCCAATGGTCAGGTGTGTGCAAAGAAATGATTTGTTGAGGTCAAACACTTTTGCTATCTTCTTGACATTGGTGTCATTTTTCTTGGACAAGCCTCCCGCCTCTTACCTGACTTTTTCCTTGTGAATTCTAACAAGTTGTTCTCTATTGATATCCATTTCTTCCACATGTCATTTCATTGATTGAGGTGGTAGAAAGTGATTAAGGATAGGAAGAAAAAGGGCCATGATTAGCCTGATATGCTTTTGGGTAGAGAAAAGGAGACAATAAAAAATGCAGTGCATTGCTGTTTGCATAGGCAGAATGAACTCAGCAGTCCCACATTCTAGGTTAGGCTTTTAATGGACCTGCTTATATTAGTTTTGTTTATTGAGCAAGTTGTTATCTTCAGTTCTCTTAAGAGATAGAAAGTTATGTCAATCATAGTGTTGATGTCTAGTACTTACGTTATATACATTTGAAAATACAAATCATGACAATAAGTAAGAATGTTCAATTTTTCTACTTGAAACTTATTGCAATGATATCAGTGTAACAGCTCAGCCCACATGTTGTCCACTTTATGCCTAGGCCCCCAGACCTCAAAACACGTCGCTAGGGTCTGACACTTATTTCTTATATATATACCCAACATCTCTCCCTTGTGTCAAACAAAGAAGGGTCAGGCTGGGTTGTGTTTTTGAAGTTTCGAGTTCAACTATTTGCGTTGAAATTAATGGCCTTTGCCTACTCTAGCTCCAAGAAGCTAAAGTATCGCCTTTTGAATTTCGTCTTTAAAACTTGTTGAGCTTTTCCCTATGCAGGAGCTCTTGAGACGGGAACGTAACAGAAGTCGTGGTGGTATCCCAACTGTATATGTTCTGGTCATTGCATTGGTGGGAATCCTTCTGGGCTATCTTCTCAAAAGGATATAATCTTTAGACATGAAAATTGTAGAACCTTAAGTCAATTAGTTGTCTGGTTGACTTAAATATGTACAAGTTAGTTCCATTGGCTTTATAAATGCCTCAATCATCATATGACCAACTGGTTTGACATCCTCTTTTTGGTTAGTTTATTAATCAAGTGTATTTTCTAAGTTAATGAATGCAACCAAGTGTTAGACAATACTGATTAGTCATTGTAGTAGAGTGATCTTATTGGCATGAAGAGTTTCTTGGATTCACTTACAACTATCTTGCTTGGTTACCTTTCATTTTTTTCATCTTGTCTACCTCTGTGTATGGAGAAAATCTTGGTATTACTATTTAAAAAAAAAAAAAAAAAATCAACACTAAGACGTTTGGTAGGGTGTACAAAAATAGTTGTCAATATTGTATATTAGTAATGTTGATATAGTTATGTGGAGTGAATTTACTGGAAAAAATTGAAACGTGAATAGAATGTGGAAAATTCTCTTATGAATGAAAATGGTTGTTATTTTAATCACCACCTTAGAGTAACAATTAAACATGTTGTCGAAAGGGGCCTCTCCCTTTTCTTATAAGAGAAAAATTGAATATAGCATATTGTGTATTATAAGATAAACATAGTTTTTTTTAAATAGAACAAAGAAAACATAGTGTTCATCCCCGTTAGCGATCAATGGTTAAATTTGAGATCAACTTCCACGATTTACCAGCTATCTGGAAAAATGAGTGTCATCCTCTATATCATATCCATATCATATATATTAAGTTTTCTTATATTTTCAAATAATTACGTATTAAGAGTCTCCCACCATATATTGAAGAAGATATACCTAGATATATGTACTTGTGTTACCAGATACACTAAATTCGGGAGAGAGGCGATGAGATAGTCATGTATTCTAGATTCATGTAAATCACACTAGATACATACTAGATAAATGTATCTTTATCTGGGATACCATATACATAGGAGAGTAGCGAGCGAGATGGGAGGAAGACGAACGAGATTCATTATGTATATCTACTTGGATGTAGTTTATCTAAAATAAATTATACCTGATTTTGAACCCATGTATTTTGAGATACATGTATTTGAACGCATCAAAATCTGATAAGATTCTAAATATTACAAACTAAAATATATCCAAATAATTAACTCCTAAAATAGTGAGGTTTCTCTTTTAACTTTTCCAAAAAAATATGCTGGGATTTCTTAATAGCTTGGGAAAGGGGTGTTGACAACATTTTTGTGAAGCTGATAAAAAAGGAATAGTATTTTATATAAATTTATATATTAAACAAAAGTTTAATATTCGTATGATGGTGGCGTTAGTCTTCGACTACTGAAAGATGAAAATGGAAAGATCCAACATATAGTCCCACCAACCCAAATTATATTACATACTCTCTTATCAGGAATTTATTTATTCCATTCATATTAATTTTCGTGATATGCTAGGAATTTGTCTCCAATTTTGACTAGTAGCAAGTAGGGGTGCGTGGACATTCGAATTTAATAGGAATAGTTTGATTTGAATTTTTGATCGAAACTTGTTGAGAATATAATTTAATAATAAAAGTGTGCTTTCTCTAACCGCTTAAGCTTTTAAATGAGATAGTCACACACTTCAACAAAACTACCTTGGACATAAGTTCGAATTAATTAGACTTTTTAAGTTTGATATTGAATTAATCGGTTTAAATATTTTTGAAATTTTCTATTTTGACTTTTGAGCTTTTAAGGCGATACAATTGACAACAAAGTTCACCTAATAGTTTGTTTCTAAGAATGTATAATTTTCTATCGTTAATATGGACTAAAGTCACTAGAGTCAAGAGCCATAGGACGGTTACGGTTTTAATGTCATCACTCATATCCTATTTTGTGTTATTTTCTTTAATAAAACACCTTATATGGTTATATTTTAGTAGGACTGAATAATATTTGAAGCACAATTTAATTATATGTTTGTATGAATACTTTACTGAAAAAACTCAAAAACCTGAGGTTGAAAAATTCAAATTTTATTATTTTGATTTGGTTTATAAATTTAAAAATTCCACACAAATTTTTTTTATTTGGTATTTGAAAATTCGGAACCAATTCGATCCATGTACCCTTAAGTATTGAACACAAATCTTATGGATATGAATGAATATATGATATATATAAAAAAAATTGAATTTTTGAAAATTTTCTAAATTCTATTCCTTAGATTTTTAAAATAGACTAAAAAAAATCAACCAATCAATTATCTGTTGAAGGAAGCTTGAAAACTGATGGAACATGTCGAAGGAACAAGTCCATCGAAGCAGGCTGATGAGTTAGAGTTAGAGTCATAGTAGGACTAGACTACTAAATCCTAAGTTATGTACGACTAAGCTACTGAATATTGTAGGAGTCGACTAGGATAAGGTATTTGACTTGTAATACAATACTACTCATGTAAATAATTGTGTTGCAGTAGGATTCCTAGTATAACTAGAATAGGACTCTTCTCCTATATAAGGAACTTGTAACTCAACATTATAATCATCAATACAATCCTTGATTTCTCCATGCTTACGTGAGAATTCTACATGGTATCAGAGCAATAAGGTTTTTCCGCTCTTTAACGTATTAGATCAAAACCAAAACAACCAAAATATTGAACCGCAATGGCCCCTTCTACCAACGCTCTTTTGACCTCTTCACTTCATCATCTTATTTCGTCCTGCTCCATTAAACTTAAGCCAACGAACTATCTTATATAGAGGACACAAATGTCTTAGTTGATTGAAGTGATGAAATTAACCTACCTCATCACAAAACCACCTAAAGATACATGTTCCACTAGACAAATTATTGAGAAAGCTGTAGCAGGCGAGAAGGGTGCAGAAGACAGTAACGTTGTTGATGACTGGGAGGAGAAGAATATGTTGCTAAGGAGTTGGATCTCAGGAACCTTGACAGAAGAAAACATGTACTTGATCGTAGGCTGCTCAACTGCCAATGAGATGTGGGAATGCTTTGAAGAAGCTTATCTTCAAGCAACAAAAGATAAGGAGTTACAACTCAAACAACAACTGCAAAGTGTGAAGCTAGGAACCAAAACAATTGATGAATATATTAAGGAATTCAAAGGCATATGTGATTGTCTTGCAACCATTCACAAGCCTGTAGATGAAGATAGCAAAGTGATTAATATTGCTAGAGGTCTAGGTCTTAAGTACAAGACCTTCAGGACTGTCATGCTAGGTAAGGCACCATATCCTACTCTTAATCAATTTGTTAATGCTCTCAGGGGTTTTGATATGAGGGAGGATGAAGAAGAAGTGCCTCAACAAAACCATAACATGGCATTCTCTGCCCAAAGAGGCAGGGGAAGAGGAAACTACTCTCAAGAAGAGGAAACAATAATTTCAATTCTAGAGGAAGAGACTTTAAGCCTGCTGGACAAGGAACAAGTTCTTATAACAACAAAAACGGACCAGGTCCTCAGAATAGTCCTTCAAATGGAAGTCATGAGAGGAACAATACTGATGCGTGTCAAATTTGTGGTAGGAATAACCGTACTGCTCTTAAGTGTTTTTACAGGTGGGATTACTCTTACCAAGCCGCAGATGAGCTACCACAAGCATTGGTTGCTACTAATCTACAAAACACTACTGATGACACCTTGTATGTCGACTCAGGAGCAAGTAGCCATATAACACATAACTCAGGTATCTTAACTGATCTTAAATACTACAATGGATCAGATAAAATCATTATTGGGAATGAATCAAAGTTAGACATAACACATGATGGAAACATATCCAGATCAGGTCAAAAGTTAAAAGAAGTTTTTGTAGTCCCTAAGATTAATAAAAAATTACTCTCAGTTAGTAAGCTTGCAAAGGATAATTGCTGCACTCTTGAATTTAATGAAACTAACTTTGTTGTAAAGGACAAGAAGACAAGGACACTGCTTGCCAAGGGAACTAAAAGGAATGGACTCTATGCTTTGGAAGATAACAATCTCTATGTTTTAAGTGTTGCACGCGATTGGAACACGTTAGACAACATGTGGCATACTAGATTAGGACACCCTAGTTTGAAGTCTTTAAAAGTTTTGAATAGTAATAGTTGTATCAATATTAGTAGTTGGAATAAAATGCCTACTGTTTGTTCTAGTTGTCAGTTGGGAAAGAGTTGTAAACTTCCATTTGGTTTGAGAAATAAAATTGAGAAAGAACCTTTATTGAAAATCCATTGTGATTTATGGGGACCTGCTCCTGTCGAATCTTCTCAACATATGAAATATTATGTCGTTTTTGTTGATGATCACACGAGATATACATGGATTTATCCACTGAAAAAGAAATTTGAATTTTTTGAGGTCTTTGTAAAATTCCAGAAAATGGTAGAAAAATAATTTTCTAAAGAGATTAAGATTTTTAGTGTGATGGAGGTGGTGAGTTTATCCTAACAGACTTCATTAAGCATTTGGAAGATTATGACATTGTGAGACATATTTCATGTCCTAACACACCTGAACAAAATAGAGTTGCAGAGAGAAAACATAGGCATATTATGGAGACTGGCTTAACTCTACTTCTTCATGCTAACCTACCTTTGTTTCTATGGGTTGAGGCTTTCCTCACTGTAGTATTCCTCATCAATAGACTGCCTTCATCAGTCCTACAGATGGTGACTCCATTTGTTAAGTTGTATAAGGAACAACTTGATTACAATAGCCTAAAAGTGTTTGGGTGTAGATGTTTTCTATATATCAATGGTAGCAATAAGTTCAGTCCAAAGACCTACCCTTGTGTGTTCATAGGGTACAACAGCTTACACAAAGGATATAGATGCTATCATCCCTCTACAAGAAGGGTTTACATATCCAGACATGTTGTGTTTGATGAAAACACATTACCCTATGTGTCTCCAAAGCAATCTCAGACTAACATTGATGTCTCACCTCATCTTGCTACTTTTGTTGAATATTTCTCTAAACTGCAGGCTCATGATAATTCTGATTCAGAGGAAGTACAAGCTGCTAGTCCACACATTAATAGTGATAATGCTCCTACAACTCATATACTCATTGATAATGAGAGGTATTGACCTCTCAGGCACATGATCAGATGCTGAGGAACAGGTTGAAGGTGATGATCCATACAGTAGTGTTGAAACTCCAGCTACAGATCTGCTAGTAGCAATGAGGAACAAGTCGCACTTATAGGTCCAGCCAATGAGCATCAT